GTGTTTTATCCCCAGTAACGTGACATTTTAGGAATTTTAGTGTCAAACAATTAACTACACAAAAAAAAAATAATAATAATAAATAAATAAAATAATATATATAATAATAAAAAAGTATATGTAACTACTAACTTCTTGTTAAATGGCAGTATATATTTCAACTAAATCAGGTCAGGGAATTTGGGGGCATATCATCTGCTGATAGCGCCCCCATAACTCGCAAACAAACAAAAAAAAACAAAAAAAAAACTGTAGTATATTGTATAGCTAAACGATATAGTTGATCACGGCTATTTATTTAATTTTTGAAGTTTAATGAAAAATGTGGGAAAAGTATTTTATTTCAGGGTTAATATTAATAATTGTGTTAACAACCTTGGCATTGACGAATTCATTAAATTACCAAGACAGCTACAATATAAGTAAGTAGATGAGTTAATTAATGTTGTGATCAGTCTTTAAGTTTAACCTAAGATTTCATAATGAATCAGGAATGCTTAATAGTAGTAGTATTTTAGGCTCACTGTTTTCTTCCTGATTCTAATAGTTGCTGATTCGCAACATAATTGTCTAGTTACCTTACTCAGCTATTGGTTATATAATGAAGTAAATTTTACTAGTAATATAATAAACTTAGAGTTGCGTAGTTCAAATAATGGAGTATATTTAAAATTTTAATAAAATAGGCCTTGATCAGTACAGTTCATATAGTGGAGTAAATTAAACTGCTAATGTAGTACTAGTAGGTCAAGATATATATACAGGTCATATAATGGAGAAAATTATTGTTTTAGTTTATAATAAACAAGTGGTGTCTAAAATGTTCTACTTTGTCATTTTTTACTTTTAGTATGGTGTCTAGTTGTCCTGGATTCTTTATAAATATATTGTACTAGCATTATTTTGGTTCTGGACAATAATACTTTTTTTTTTCTTTGTAAAGCAGCTAAATTAGTGAGAATTGAAATTGTTAGTTAGATTTGTCAGAGTAATACAAAAATGTATAAGCAAGTATGGTAACATGAGAGTTCAAACATTGAAAAATATTTTCAATCAATTACAGTATGTACCAGGCAGTGTTGCTGAAAGTTTGAGCTGAATTTGTTTTTTTCTATAGCCCACCTTGACCTCTTCCAATCCAGATGAAAATGGATGACATGATTGAATGCTTGTTTATTTTTATTTATTTTTATCACTGAAAAGCAGAATCTATGTTCTTGTGAGGTAAATGTAAGGAGTGGTATCAAATCAAATTGTTGTCTCTGCATTTGATTTGTATCCATTTCATATTTATAAGTTTGCTTTTAACAGTAACAGTTCCAACATTTTTTCAGTTTCATTTATTTTTATGTTCTTTATTTTTTTTCATTTTTTGGAAATTCTTGGTATAATTTCATGATTTAGCATATGTTAAACAGTCATTGAACTTGCTTTAAAACTAATGCTATCCATCTAGCTTAAAAAGCTAGTAATATTTGTAATTGCTAGTGGAAGTATAATGATTCTAAAATAATTAATGTTTCTGTTCAGGTCCACAGAAACTTTTATTTGCTTTGCTCTGGCTCAAGTTTTAAGGTATAATTGACTATTTCAATATGACCCAAACATACAAAGTTAACTGAATATGTATTATTGATGGTATTGGATATTTTTCAGTTCTCTCTTTCATTTTTTAGATTTGGGAAAAGATAAAATGTGTAAAAGGCAACTTGAAACTGTAGGTGAAATTTGATTACTACTGCTGTATCTATAACAGCATATTATATATTATTCACTTCTAAGAACATACAATGTTATTTAATCAAATTTAGTATTCTTTTTTAACAAATTGTTATTTCAAATTTTAAAGCACACGTTTTCATTTTGCTCTAGTAACGTATATAGTATTTTTGCCTATATCGCATATAGTGTGAACCAATATCCATACCTGTTTTTCTGTGCATAGTGTACACACTAACTTATATGAAAAATGTGTTATGATATTATTACTAGCATTATAAAAAAATAAAAAAAATAAGGCAACTCTAATAATATGTAAACCGAAACTGTTGAAAGTTATAAAATCATTAACCAGTTGATATATGAGAATTACTTGCTCTCTATGGAAACTGGGCTCCACCTAGACCCATTTTGAAGCTGGCTACTTCACAGTGTAATTTTGAAAATTATACTTTAACTAATGGGGTGGAAAATGTATAGTATATATCTCTGTGTTAAAGAACTATTGTTTACATTTTTTTCTGGTTTAATGAGCAACTAGGTTTATGATAATGAACTAAAATAATGATTAAATGCATGCGTACTGTAACTCCTATGTCTCATGTGTTTGAAAATGAGCTTGAGTTAAAAGGTATTAAGTGTGAATGAGACTTTAAATGAATTGCTCTTGAACATGGCATTACCTGAACAACTTGCTGAAAGAGTTATTTTGTTAAATCTTAAGCCTAAGTTAGCACATGTAGCTACAAATAATCACGTGGCTGTTTTAGTATGTAATGTGACTGAAACATTGATTGTTGGGTGTACCAACATCTTCAAACTATTGGACTGCTGGGATAATATATGTAGTAACAGAGATCTGAAAAAGAATTACTCATAACGTAATTATCAGAAGTTAGTGAAATAATAATATTTAGTCTGCTAGTTTTGAATATGAATGAACAGTTGCCAATCAGTTATTTCTTGGCAATAGTGAGTGAAAACACACATAACTTGGTGTTATAACTAAGACTTAATATATTTATAAAGCTGCAGAACCTGTACATCATGGTGAAGTAAACTAAATATATCTATTAGAGAAATGGTTTCATTTGTTACTGTGTGTGTGTGTGTATTAAGACAAAGCTTGTTTTTATTTAAGTTAAAGTAAAATAAATGTCTCATTCCTGATAATATTACAGCTTGTAAAGAGTCTAAAAAGTTGTGGTTCTGCGTCTTGACGATTTTGGTGATTCTGCTCGCTAATCTCCACTAATGTTCCTTATTTCATGTTGTAACAGCAATAAAATAGCTATTGTTAAGTCTAGCCAACTTCTTCTTTGAATGATGTGTAGTATAAATCTCCATTCTTAATGTTTTTAGGGTAGAATGAATGCACCTGTTCTCTTGTGACACCTGTAGCAGCACATATAATAAATGCTGTATTGTCTGCACTGTTTATCAATTTTCCATAAAACATTCACTCTGTGTACTTGTAGAACTTAGCATGATTTATCTTCTAATCTATGTTAATTCCTTGTTACTGTTTTTATAGGTCTGTCTGTCTATTTGTACGTGAATTTTTCTACAGGTATTTTTTTTTAATGTTTATATCTATAGATTTCTTTAACTTTTTCAGATTCTCTCAAATACTCTGCACACCATGAAAGAGCTGAAAAAATCCAGCAAGCAGTTTTTCCATTGCTTCGTCAGAATGCTTCAGTTGACAATGTTAGGATTTCATTCCCAGTGATTTCAGGTGAAATGTTTGGCTTGAACTTTCCCCTTTTTTTTTCTTCCAAACTAATATGAAGACTATATTTTTGAGTAAAATTGATGGTTAAGTGTTTAACTTGTTTAAAAATATTTGGAAACTACAGAAGCATGTAGTGTGTACATTTTAAATCTACGGCCATTTATATCCTTGTGACAATTGTATTTTTTTTGGACTGTATTTTACATCAAAGACAAAATTAGAAAAATTCATGCAGTTTTAATATTATTTCATGTAAACCTATAGAATATTTTGAACACATTCACATCTGTTGGGGCAATGAATTCTGAATTTAAAGTTGGGTTTGGTAAGAAATGTTCTGTTTTATATTTTAGAGTATCAAATAGCTAATTTGATGTTAAGAATCCCAGGTTAAGCTGTAGTTAAGAGATTGCAATTGTTTTTTTTTTTTATTAAGATGAAATAAATAGATGGTAAAATGTTTATATATAGTAAGGCTCTGGTATCAAACACTGATAAAAATCCATTGTAGGATAGTTTAGTCTTATTCATATAGATATGGATAACTCTTATTCAACACAAACTCCAAATTATTACACCCTAAAAAAAGTTGGGGGTTAAAGTGTTATGTTTTCCAAAGATCTGCATACATAACGTAGATAATTGTACTTTGAAAAATCACTCTGAAAACATTGAAATTTTTATGAAGTCCTGTAAGCACGTACCAGTTACATTTTCTACAGCCAGCTGATATTAAGGCAAAAGTTGTATCAAAATTCTTCTCACCAATTGGGAAGATGTGCTTTTATTTAGGTAAGGCTTGGCAGGAGCTGCATCAAACAGCTGTCGTTTGTTACCATAGACATGCCTAAATTACTTGTCTCTTAAAAACCATCTGTCAACTGTACTATATTGTACATCATATTGGTGGAAGAGAGATTAAAGAAATTTTTTGGAAACTGATGTCATGTGCCCTTACAAACATGAGATACTTGGTACTCGACTGACACTGTTCTTGCTGACCATAACTTCACTGACACCTCAGAATAGCTTGGATATTGTCATTTCGTACATTACGATTTTTTGGTTTATACATGTGACTGCCTCTTTAGAAATCTAATAATATTTTTAGAGATTCTTCCTTTCTTTCTTGTTAGGTGTTAAAACAAATACAGACTATTTGTTGGTCTGTTATTACCGATGGCAAGGAGAGGGAAGTCAGATGCTTCAACCTTCCAAGATAAACACTACCTTGTGTACTCACATCATTGTAGGATTTGCATTAGTAAAAAATAACACTCTAGTTCCAGCTGATCCATCTGATATCCATGGCTATGAACTGGTAACAGGATTGAAAAAAACTGTACCAAATCTGAAAGTTATGCTGTCTGTTGGTGGTGGAGGTGGAGCTAAAGGAATATCGCCTTCCGTCAGTACCAGCCAAAATCGAGCAAAGTAAGAATATGCTTTGAGTTTGCTCAGTATAATGGCATATCTGCTTCATGAGATTTATACCACTGTTTATGTTGTTTACGCATCAAAGAGATGTGTAATGCTATTTATAAAAGTGCAGAAGCTAAGGGTAACAACCAAGTAGACTATACTTTATTGCAAGTAAGCCACATTTGGCATAATTGTTACATCTACACCAATTTTCTGTATATAATTGGACCATTAAAGCTTATAAAACTTTGGGCATGTGACCAGTGGCATAACTACAAAATATGCACCCTCCACGTATACTCACAATATCATAGAACAATTCCCGTTAATTAAAAACAAAGTCAACGTGTGAGGTTTCCTATTAGTATTTAAAATTTCGGAATCGAGTATTTCGGCAAGAACCAAAATTTATCATTCATAAATTATTACTTTTAATTAATGTACTTAATTTGAGGTAAGACATTTTAAAATAATCTACTGTTAAAACTGAAAGGAACCATTTTTTTCATTGACAAACTATACAAGTCGTATATTTTATTATTCAATAGGCTGATTAGTTCAATTATAAGTCTATTGAGCAAATGTAACTTTGATGGAATAGACATTGATTGGGAGTTTCCTGTGTGGGATGGTTCATCACTGGAGGATAAAAAAAATTTCATTCTCTTTCTGAGGGTAAGTATCTGAGCAATTTTTGTCATAGTAATAATAATAGTAAGAAAAGAGCCTGTTCTTAAGATCATTGTGAACAAAGTACACGATTTTTTTCCTTTCATCCTGAATTAGTTAATAATGACATAACAGTGTAATTTAAAAAAATTGTGTTTAAAAAAGTTATTTTGAGATGTTGTGAGGCTTTTTTTTTTTATTACAGGGGTGAACTAAGTATTGAAACTATAGATGATATTAAGTATTTGAATATCTTCTCGGCATACAATGAACAGACAAAACATAAATAAATAAAAACCCTAAGCGTTCACAGTATATGTCACGTTAGCTAAAAATCTTTCACAAAAGTAACAAAAAATTAATCTTCAAGATGCTTTTTCACATTTAAATAATTTGAAATAGGTGAAGACAATCTGTCCAGGCCCCTTAGCTCACATCAGTATTTTACCAACTGAGCTAGCTATTAGTGCATCAAGGCCCAAACAGATAAATGCTGCCTAATTCATTATATAATTCCCTCTCCACTCATAATCTTATTTCGAAGATGTCCTCCTCCCAACCAGTCGCATATTTTAATTCATCTGAAAGGTTTGACTCATTACTACCATGCATCTATAGATGTGTGTGTGTGTGTTACATTCAACTCTGATCCCATGTTATCTACTTCAGTTTGTCACAGAACAATATGTATAACTTAACACAATATTAACTTTACGTAAATAATTTCCTCACTAATTTACACCTAAACACCACTGAGGGTTGCTTGATGTTCAACACTTGTAGTAATGTTATTCTGATTGAGGCAAGGTTACTTTCTAACAGATCTTGGGTACAAACACTGCTTACATTATGATTTTGAATCCTCATCATGCTCTCATAATCCATTTAACCATGTTTACTGTGCTGCATACTGACAATAGCCTTGCAGTGTAGTTTCTATTGCAAAAACCTTTGTCTGAAGGCTGTCATGTCTAAGTTTCACCACCCCTCCCTGCTACTTTCCATAATTCATCTAGTGTGTGAGGACAGCAGTTTTTCAGTGCCTGTTTCAGTGGTCCAATAGCACAGAAATCCATAGATAACTTGACAGGTATGTCTGTATGGAATAGTATGAATATCCATTTCATTATTTAGCTGCTTGAGGTGTGCAACAGTTGAACAGGAGGTATTAGTGGAAGCCATACTCTGTTATAGTCATTCAAGTATAAAGGAAGTATTTCTGTGTGGTGCAAAGGGTCTAGTGAAGCTTGGTATGACAATAGCAGAGTTTCTGTATCTATCAGATATGCATTTTAGAACACAAATTATATCAATCATTAGAAAGAATGTCTCAAAACTACTGTAACCTATCCGGGCCTTTTAAATAAGTTATAAATAGGCTAAAAATTTCCCTTAGCATTTAGAGCAGCAACATATGCTTCACACAAACTCAAACAATCCCATAAAGTAATGGTTCACAGAGGAGAAAACTAAATGAAGATTTATAAAGGGTTTATGTGGAGGAGAATGTTCTGTTTTAGTTAATTATAAACATGGCCCTCTGGTGGCTTTGAACAATTTATTGATATCTCGGCATATCAAAAAGTTAAGAGGTTTCAATTTTAGATTCTGAAAGGGAGAAATTAGAGATTGGACACATCATGTGACAAGAAAAATGAGGAATGAGGTTTTTTAAACATTTCTTTTTGAAATTAAGAAGGTAAAACTTTATATTTGATTTACAAAATACATTTTCATGCCAAATATATTGATATACATTGATAATACATTTAAAGTCTAATCAAACAACTTTACTTTGTAAAATGTTGTGGCATACACAAAAGAGACAGGCCCAAATATGTAGGGTTAAATATACTTTCTGTTGCTACTTATAAAGATTAGAAAGCTTTTTTTTTTTTTTTCATTTTTGGCAGTTGAGTACAATCTCTGTTAATAATGTTTTTGGCTTTAAACCCAATAATATCTCACAAAGTTCATTTAACTTAGGAGACTTATAGTAGTTCTAAATAGATATATTAAGCTAATAAAACAAAACAATGTGTAATAAAAACCTATAATGATAAAAAAAAAAAATAGAAGGTAATAAATTCAGATATATTATATATTCTGACCCATACCATTATTGAAAGAAACCATAAAGAAATAGAATATAGCTTATTTAGCAATAAAGAAATAGTGTCGATTTTGATTTGTCAATCCAGTTTGAATTATTGATTCCCTGGCTCTCATTGGACAGGTAAGGAAAGGTTCCTAATCAGTGCATATTGCTTTGTAGTCTGTTTTTATCAAATATGTACGTCTATTTTTATTTTAGATTGAACTATTTTCAAAGTAAAATAATCTTTCTTTTAATGAACTAATTACTTAATATTTTACAGGATCTCCGAAATGCTATAAATTCAGAGCGAAAGAACTATAGAAATAAGCCTTTGCTGCTGTCTGTAGCAGTAGCAGCAGTCCTACCAATCATGAGAGCATCATATGATATACCATCATTGGCCAAGTAAGACATTAAAATGTTGTGTCATACCATTAAAGTTTGTATATAAAAATAAAATATATTAAAGGTTGGTTAATAATAAAGTAAAAAATTGGTTGATAATAGGTTATTGTAATTTTTTTTGCTTTATTTTTAATGGAAAACAACTTATTTTTTAAAAAATGTAAAAGGAATACTAAAATCACCACATTAAAAACTACCTTCCAAGGCAGTTAACTTATTACAATAATAAGTACTGTTTTGTAAGTTTTATCTTTTTTAAATTTATGATGGAGGCTTCTTGTTTTTATAATGCTTATTTTTAGCACAAAACTACAGTAGACTATCTGTGCTCTATCCACCATTGGGAATCGAACTTTGAATTTTAGATTTGTAAGTCCATAAACTTACTGTTTACACATTGTGGAACTTTGATAATGTTATCTGGAAGACTGAAATATTTTTCTATCATGATATATACAATTTCCTTTTTTTTAACATTAATTTCAATCTGTCTATTGCTTAGCCTTGTTTTTTGAGCTTTGAGACTTGTCAATAGATGGTTGAAAAAAATATCGTAACAAGCGGTTTGAAGATGTATACTGCAGGAACGTTGATGGCAATAAAGATTTTACTTCTGGACTTAGTTTGATCCTGGAATGATCTTTAGGTTTGAGATCAAACACTTGTACTGTTTCTAGCATTAAACAAGCAGATGCAAGCATGTAATCTGTTGAATAATTTGATCTTTATTCAATTTCTAACAAGAGGAGAGTAGTAAGTTGTTTATTTTATTTTCTCTTTCAGGTACGTTGATTTTATCAACTTAATGAGTTACGACTACCATGACTTTACGTGGTATCTGCCATTTACTGGACATAACAGTCCTCTTTATAAAAGGAAGGATGAATTTGGATATTTTGCAACTTTAAATACAGTATGTATGTTTTTATACAAAATGAAAAACTATCTTGTATTTAAAGGCTATTATATTTGCATATTTCTTTAAAACATGTAACAGAGCACAAACTGATGATATATAGTGCTGTTTATACCAGTGAAACATGCAATATAGTGACCAATCTTAATATTATCTGTTAAAATTCTATGACGAAAACTTCAGTGATATAGTAAAGTTGGGAATATTTTGATACTTACCCTGTTGGATCTGTTTGTGAGCTAATTTAGGAAGGGTTTGTAATGTAATGATTCAGTACTCTCAAATTATTCATCAGGGCTCAAAATTAACCCTTGCCTGTGTAGAGTGCCAAATACTCCTACAAATCATATTGGCCATGTAAAGATTTAAAAAGATGTGCCTGATTGGCACAAAAAATGTTGTAGCAATAATCTGGGACCAAACAAAAGAATATTGTAGTGTTCAGTTAGTATAAAGAGGAGCATACTTTAACCCTTTCGGCACGGGATCAGTCTCAGGGACCGATCTCATAACCATATTGTACCTGTTATAGTTTTTGTGCTATAACTTTTAAATTAGTAAGCATATCTTTACAAAATTTTGCATATTATCAGTAAACATTACAAGGCTTTCATACACAAAATATGATTTTTTTTAAGTAATGTTTTTCTCATGCCCTTTTTTTTGTTGTTGTTGTTGAATGTTGACTATCCAACCTGCAAAGTAATTTTGATTTTAAGAGTAAAAATAGTTTGTATCAGAAAATTTTCAAATTTCAGGTGCAAAATTTTTATAACCTCCAGATAATTATCAAATGTTTTTTAAGAAAAACTTTATATTTTATCTGTTATTTTCATTATCGTATATCTCTATGGGTTCAGTCAATTCAACCAACCTCATAACCACCATAAAAAATTAGTAAATAAATATAAATTTTGTGTACACATGTCAATTTATCCTTTATTATCTTTTAACCAAATTTTTCTTCTCATGTTTAGTGGTACAACACTCACTCATTCATGTAGTCACACTAATTTATTTTACTGAGTCAGCTTACAACTTTTCTATGATTTACTAACTGTTGGAGTTGAAAGAAGTCCTTTCACACACAGAGCATATGTTAAAAGTAATATACTTGGATCCAATGCTATATATGTCGGACGATTTCAAACTATGTTTATAGAGGGAAACTGAACTCAAATGAATGGGTTAGCTCTGAACTACCTTAGCATTAGGATAGCACTGAACAATAAATAACTGCCCTTTGCCAGGCAGTAAAGCCTGTGTTACAATGGAATTAGGCCCTGAACTAAGCACTACCTTCTACTGTAGCTTTGCTTTTTTGCTGTAATGGTATTTATCATATTACATTGAAACTGGGGTAAATCATGACTATGGACATTCAACTTCTTTGAAATAGTACTTTTAAAACTGAACTTTTTTGAAAGACGTAAACTTCAAATCTCCATTCAACAACAAAAGTGTGTAAATGTATGTATCATCAACTCGTATCGAAGTGTTATATTTGTATCCGTTAAGTTAAAGTCTACTTCAAGTATCTGCATGATGGTAGATTTCAAAATAAATTTTTTTTTTTTTTTTTTTTTTTTTATCCATTAAATTGCAATTTTATGGTTTATATGTATAAAGAGTACTTTGGTGTATTTCAGCATTGTACATATGTACATATATATATATATATGGGGAAAATTCATAAAATACTATTTTCCATGATAACTAAACTTTAAAAACTAACAAACATAGATGAGTATTCATAAAGTATTTGGAAAGCAACATAAGGAGAGATAAACAGGAAAATATTGGACAAACAAGCATGGCTGGAAAACATTTTAATATTTGCATATAATACTTTAAATCTAACATTTCTTACTTAACAGAAAATGTTTGATTTACCCATGGCAACTAGTGCTACCCATATCACTGGTCATTCTCTTTCAGCATAAGGGAGACCATAACCTCTAGATATCATCTGCCCTACCATTAAACAACACTGCTATCATCGAAATTCCTGTACAATGTGTAGCATTACATCAATATCTCTTGTGGGCTGAGCAGGTATGTGCTTTAGAGAACATCTAAAGAACAAAGGCAGCTAGAATGAAGTAAAGTGAACTGATTTGGGAAACATGCTACACAAATAACTGCAAAGGTTCAGAATAAATGAAAAATGTAAAAACTTTCTACATTAAAATAAGGTAGAAAACCTATGGTATGCCTACACACCACTCTAATACTAATCAGAAAGTCTAGATGTTAGTCTTAGCAATATTGATTTGAGACATGAAATTGGAGATCTAAGCTGTATATAATGTTATGTTTAGTGAAATTGCTGCAGTATAGTGATAAAGTTGGGCATTTGTATTTGAATACAAAAAATAGCTTTGCAACAAATGGACACTGACAATAGGACAGAAGAAGAAGAAAGGTAATTTGCACCCTGCTCTTTAAAAGTTAGAATTTTGTTTAAATAAAATGTATGATTGCTGTACTTTGACCTGACTTTTACCATTCTTCCCCACCCTCCAGAAATTACTCTAGAATCAAGATGCTCTTGAGGCTTTTTGTGCTGATGTTTATCAATTTTCTCCAAAATGTTTCTTTGTACAACTAGCTATGTGCAAATCTTCTTTGATTTCATGTCCATTTATAAAAGTTATAAACAATTTGGGACTTGTACCTTAAATTATCTCAAATGTCCAGTAAGCCTTAACAATAATGGAATTTCTATTACATGTTGAAATAAGCATTAAGCTTTTAGTATTCAGAAATTGATTTTCTAATCCAGTACCAGAAGAAAAGTATAATGTAGTGAAACTATAAATATAGCCATAAGATCCATGACTAAACTTATTGATTGTATACACTTTATATTGGATGGTGGTTTTATTTTTATACTCTCAACACCTACTTTAAAAAAAAAGATATATATTTTATAAAAAAAGAGTAAAAAAATATATATTTTTTTCTTTAGGCATGGTCAGCAGAAGAATGGGTCAAAAAGGGAATGCCCCGTTCAAAGATAATGGTTGGAATTCCAACGTATGCACATACCTACATCTTGGCTACTCCTTATATCCACGGGTTCAATGCTCCTGCAGTTGGAGGGGGAGAAATGACTTATGATGAGGTGAGAAATAACAATGTTCATTAGTTTGGTTTTTTTAAGTACATGAAAATGGCATATTCCAATAAGATATCTTACCTCCTCTCACAAAATAGCTTTTCTCGAATAGTACTTCCCTCTATCAGTGCAAATTTTCAACGCTCGCCACTAGCTTTCCGCCTACCACTTCTGCATATCCACATGTAAATGATTCCACAAGTAGGAGCATGACACAACCCCTATCGTAACCAGTACCCTCTCCACATTTGCACTCGTTAATCACTCATTAATTGGCAATAGTATTGTACAGATGTGCTTGTTTTTGCTCACAAATTTGTTGACGTTTTCCTTTATATTACAGACTTAGATTTTCTTTACTATGTTTTTGTTATTTCTTTATTTACAGGAGCTAGTGTATTGTGGACCCCACTCTGTGGCGAGTGGTGTCTGACCAGGTATAATCTTTTTAAAAATCCACACTGTCCATCCTGTGACCATTCTTGATGTCAATTTCATTGTAGCTCTTCCTAGCGTGGACCTGATGAACAATCCCAGATGCCACCAGGTATTAGTTGTGTATTTCTGTTCAATTGTCATCTGTGCCGAAACAGTTATATCGCAGAATTAGGTTATGCACACCGTATAGGTGGGGTGTTTCGTAGAACCATTAGTAGTTCTCTCTAGTGGTCTTTTACTTCATAAATATGTTCATCCCAGACTGTACACTCATGGACACACAAGAGTAAATCAGATAGAGATTGCTGCCCATCTCTGATGTTCCATGGTATTGAGACCCTTCTTACTACGGACCTGACGTGCAGTTCCAGATGCCACCGGGTGTTGGTTGATCGACTCCGTCAGTGTGGTAGCTCGGCTTTTCAAAAGAGGGTATCGTGGTCACCCATTGCATTGTCTGGTGATGCAGTCTTTGCCACTTATCGGTTCCTAGCCACTGGGGTGATGGACCATGGAGGCCTGTCCTCCTGAGTGATGTATCATAGCACTCGGTTGGAAGTAGGGTGGTGGCATTCTGTGGGTGTTGATGGCATATAGCATTTCCTACCATGGACTTGATGTACAATTCCAAATACCACCAGGTTTTGTTTGTAGCACTATACTGTATTAATATATATATATTGCTTTTTCCCATCATGGCATTTCTCCTTCCTATCATCCTATGGAGGTAGATTCCCGGGGGTCAGGTGTTGGTTGGAGATGGTCCAGCTAAGTACGTCCTAACATGTGTTCTGGCTGGTATCCCTCTTTCTATCACAGATTGGATTAAAAATGCCCAATGCCTCCAGGTTTTGGACTGGAGATGCACCCCAGGTTTGTGGTCCCTCTTCCTACCATGTGCTGGATGTTGGTTGTAGCTGGGTATCCTTTTCCTATCGCAGACTGGATGAACTATACCCAATACTGCCAAAGTTTGGACCAGGGATGTCATCCAGAGGGGGGGTTTCATACCATCCTCTGGATATTGATTTGTGGTGGATCAGGTGTTGGTTTGGTTGGAAATGTGCGCAAGTGGAGGCAGATTTTGGTAAGGAAGCTCGTGGCTTTGTTTCAGTTACAGAAGTATGTAAAATTTTCAGATTTCTCTTATATTTGATATCCTAATTGACTTTGTAATATGACAACCAATATTAGTATGTAATGTTTTTCATGATACTACTGCTAACTTAATCTAAGAATTGATTCAATATTACAACAGGCTTTAAATAATACTAAATCTTTGTAATGACAGACTCATTACAAGTTTTATATATAATTAAGAACGGTTCAAAATATTTTGTTATTGATAACAATGATAGTATTAATGATTAACCCATTCACTGCAGCTGGAATGTATATTTCCCAATGCTTCCCACCTCTTCACATTGCGACTGGGACAAATGTTTCCCATTGTCGATGCTGTTTACATCTTTCTCTGCTGGGTCCAAGTTCATCATCTTGACTATCATCACTAGATGGAGAGCCAGCATCCTCTTGTCTCTTCATCATCACACATTTGAACACCACTTGACTCACTTTCACTGTCTTCTGAGCTATATGAGTCAAGAACATCAAGCATACTTGCATAGTAATTAGGGTTACTACTCGCCACTTTAGCAATGTGGGG